TGGCTCTGGCTTTGGCTACTACTATTGAGGGCGCCATGGAAGACTCTCATTCTCATCCTCATCCTCATCCTCATTTAATGATTCATCAGTTCTGAACCCCACAAGGTCTCTGCCTCACCCTCTGACGATTTTCACTACCAACCTCGTCTGTACTACAAACTTCAGATATGATTTGCCAAAGACCTGATATCTGGATATAATGCCACTTTGATTCTGGAAGAATATGAAATTCATCTTGTGAACTCATGTTTTTCTTTGCATCAAGATGATGTTGGTATAGCTTACATTTTTGTAATTTTTTGCTAACTTTGCTTTTCTTTTTTCTTAATAAAATTTGAACTTTTAATAAATGTGGAAGGAAATCTGATTTTGTTTGTATTCATTTATTATACAGAGTTTGCCTTTAATTGGGGCTTTTGGGGGGGTATTAGGATAGTAATTGCATTAGTTTGGGAAAAAACTTTCCTAAATATTTATGTGTTTATTGATTTTTGCTGTACTGATTCATAGATTTGTGACTTCAGAAAAGTATGTGAGTTTTGTAAATGTCAGTGTCTTGTCTGGTAAAGGGAAAAATATTTTATGATAATTTTAGCTCTTTGTATTCTTTTCTGTATAGATAGATAGTCTTTCAGTTTGTGTTTCAGGGTCCCTCTAGTATCAACAGAAACCTGACAGGTCGGGCTGAGGTTGACTTTCCCCTATGTGGCCAGAGGTCTCTGAGTTCTGATATTGCCCAGGATTTTCATTTACAGTGTTTAGATAGGATATATATAGGATGATTTTTTTCAGGCATTCATCAAACCCACAGTGTAGTAAGTTCTATACTAATTCTCTCCAGTGGAAACCAAATGAAGTCCCAGTCTTCACTTACACCTAGTTGCTCACAGGCCATATCAATCATTTAAATCAGGAAAGGAAAATTGTATTTAGGAGTGGAAGGGAAAGTAATATGGTTCAGGATGTCCAGTAGCCCTATTTAAAGATGTAGAATCTGCCATAAGTATAGGTTAATGTCAATGTTTCAGCAAATTTTTTGACACTTATTTTATGAGTTCATCATGGAAAGAAGATATTGCAACCTAAGAACTTCCTATATGAGCAAAGCTGAAAGGATAAAATCTTACCTTCAAGCTTCAGCTTTCTTCTTTGGCTTTGTTACATATATCATATTCAATTATGAATCTGAGACAGAAATTGTAGTGGTATGAACCTTACTGAACTAATCTTACTGCTAAAACAACCACCACCACAACAAGTGACAACCTCTCAAGACTTTTAACAAGATCCAGGAATCACAACATAATATTCAAAATGTCCAGGATACAATACAAATTCTGTGAAATACAAAGTCCTGGCAATTGTGATTAATTCTCAAGGGAAAAGACAACTGAGAGATGCTGTGGTGTATAGACTAAAATGGCCTCCAAATTTTATTACCTACTTATATTTACATCCTTGTATTATCCTCTCCCATTGAGTCTGACAGAAGCTGTGACATTCTTCTAACCAACAGAGTATAGAAAAATAATAATAATTTCTTCCATGATTAAGTTACATAGATCATAGTGCCCATTTCTTCACATACTTTCTTTTTTGCAGGCATTGATCTTGCAAATGGCTATGTTGTGAGCTGTCCAATGAAGGGGCCCATTTGGGAAGGAATTGAAAGTGGCCTTTGGTCAATAGCCAGTGAGAAACTGAGGACCTCAGTCCAGCAATCTGCAGGTAACTAAATTGTAGCAGCAACCATGTGGGATTAAAAATGAATCCTTCCCCAGGAAATCCTTGAGATAAACCAAACTGACTCTTCGATTGTAGCTTCTAGAAAAATCTTCAATAGAAGGCTCAGCTAAGTTGTACCTGGAGTAAAGACCAACAAGATATATAATCATAACACATGTTTTTTTAAGCTGTTAAATTTTTGGTAATGAAAACAGTTAATGATTATAAATACTAATCCCAAAATTATTGGACAAGGACATTTAAGCAGCTTTACAATCATGATCCATAAGATAAATATAAACACTCTTGAATTAAATGGAAAAAAAGATATCGCCAGCAGAAAAATGGAAATATAAAAGTACCAAATGGTAATTTTGTAACAAGAAACTACCATACCTAAATTAAAAAAAATATATTGGATTGGCTCAATAGCAGAATTAATTATGTCAGAGGAGAGTTGGACAACTTGAAGATAAACAACAGAAATTATTGAATCTGAAAAACCAAGGAAATACAAACTTTAAATATAAATAGAGTCTCAGAAATATATGGGACATACCAAAAATTCTAACATTCATGGCATTGGAATTTCCAATGGATGGGGAAAATAGATTGGTGCAGAAATCACATTTGAAGAAATAATGATTGAAAATTTCCCAGAATTGGTAAAACTCATACATTTATAATCAAAAAGTTGTAACTCTCAATCAATAGGCTCAAAGAAAGTCATGTCCAAATACATCATACTCAAGCTTCTGTTAACCAAATAAAAAGAAGAAGGAGAAAGAGGAGGAGGAGGAAAGAAAAATTCATAAAACTAGATAAACAACATATTACATGTAGGTAATAATGATTCAAATTAGCATGGATTTCTCACCAGATACAATAGAGTTCAGAATACAGTAGCAAATGCACCTAAAGTGCTGATAGAAAAGAACCCAACATCCCAACAATATCTTTCAAGAATAGAAACTTTCTCAGATGAGGAAAACTAAGAGAATTTGTGCCAGCGAGAACTTTTCTGAAAGAAATGGTAAAGGAAGTTTTTCAGATCAAAGGAAAATAATACTGTAGTGATACTTAGTATTTCAGAAATAAAGAAAAATCAATAGAAAATTGTAAACATTTGGGTAAATAAAAGTTATTTTTTCCTTTTAGTTTTTTAAAAATACATA